CGCCGCGGCGCCTGCCCCGCCCCCGGCGTGCTCATTGGCTCCGCGCCTCGCGCGCGCCGCCCATTGGACTCCTCCTGAGCCAATCCGGGCCCGAATCTGGGGCCTGCGGGAGCCCAGCGCTAACCTTTGCGGCCCGGGGCGGGGAGGCGGGCGGCCATTGGCTGCAGGGCACAGCGCACGTCAGTGATTGGTTGGAAGGCCGCCAACCGGCGTTCGGAGTAAAGTATTCACTGCGGAAGCATGCGGAAGAACCCGCGAGCCGGCGCAGGGCTTAAGGCCGCTTCCCATTGGCGGCGCGTGGTCAGCCTAGGTGACGGAGATCCGAGTGGAGTGACCCTGGGCCAGGCTGGCCACTGATTGGCTGGAGTCGCTCGCAGCCCCGCGTGCGGAGCTCTCCGGAAGAGCGCGCCAGGAAGTGGCCACGGTTCCCCTGGGCCGGAGTCACGTCGGCATCTGCTCCTGCGCACGCTTAGGCCCTAGCCTTCCCTACCCTTGTAGTTTTCTGCAGAAAGCTTTTCCCCTTGCCTTCCCCAGTGGTTGTACTAAGCCAGCAGTTACCTGGCAGTGTGATTAGGGCCTAAGAGAAGGGCGCTGCCTAGCACATAAAAAACCAAAACCAAACCGTTGCTGTCTAGTCGATTTTTGATTAGCGACCCCATAGGACAGAGTAGAACTGCCCCATAGAGTTTCCTAGCATATAGCACTCGCTAATTGTTAGCTACTATCTTCATTATTATTAGGAGTTATTGTTAAAATTTATTGAGGCATGAATGACATACAGTAAGTGTGAAAATCTTAAGTGTGCAAGATTAATGGAATTTTTACATACGTAAACACCCGTGCAAACACAGCCCAAATCAAGATAACGGAATATTTCCAACACCTCAGAAAGTTCCATCCTGTTCATCTCTAGTCCATAGCAGATCCCACCTTCCCCAGCACATCTCTGATTGCTGTCACCATAGAGTCTTCTAGCAAATAATATAAATGGGATCACACAGTAGGTACTCTTCTGGGTCTTGCTTTCAACCTGTTGTTAGGTACTGTCGAGTCAATTCCGACTCATAGCGACCTCATGTGACAGAGTAGAACAGCCCCATAGGGTTTTCTAGGCTGTCATCTTTACGGAGGGAGCCCTGGTGGCACAGTGGTTAAAGCACTCAGCTGCTAAGCAAAAGATTTGCTGTTGGAATCCACCAGCTGCTCCATGGGAGAAAAATGTGGCAGTGTGCTTCCATAAAGATTTACAGCTTTGGAATCCCTATGTGGCAGTTCTACTCTGTCCTATAGGGTCTCTTTGAATAGGAATAGACTCAGTGGCAGTGGGGTTTGGTTCATGTTTACGGGAGCATATCGCTGGCTCTTTCTCTAGCAGAGCCACTGGGGGGAGGGGGTTTGAACCAGCAATCTTTTGGTTAGCAGCAGTGCTTAACCACTGGCACCCCCAGGGCTTCTTGCTTTCAACTTCCCCATTGCTATTGAGTCATTTCTGACTCATAGCGACCCTATAGGACAGAAGAGAACTGCCTCCTAGGTTTCCGAGACTGTAAATCTTTATAGAAGCTAACCGCCACATCTTTCTCCCTTGGAGCAACTAATGGGTTTGAACTGCCAACCTTTTGGTTAGCAACCAAACGCTTAACCACTGAGGTGTGAAATTCATCCTATTCTCTCTCTGTTGTTTTAATTGCCACGTGTTCCATTGTAAGAATATACCCCAGTTTATCTTTTTTCCCATTGATGGGCATTTGGGTTTGTAGTGTAATGCTATTCAGCTACATGCATCCCCTCCTAAGGGAGGCAGCTTTGCTCTTCCCCAAAGCATGCCAGAGATGGACTTGAGATGAACTCGGCCTGAGGTACAAGGCTGGGGGTGGTGTGACTGGGCCAGTGGCCGAGGCCGAGGAGCGCCTTATCAACAAAAAGAAAAACATCTGGGCCTGGATGTGTAGTCCCGGGAGCGCTGGCTGCCTAGGGACTTGGAAGAAAAACAAACAAACCTCAGCGCCAGCTGGAACTGGACATGAACTTGTGTCGCTTGCTAGGTGGCAGTGGGGCGCTAACCTGAGTCCAGCAGCCGCCCTGGACTGTCCCGCACGTAAGTTCCCCCAGTAAACCGTATGTCCTGATCACTGGTTCTGGAGTCTTTCTTTGATCTCTTGGCTATGTGGCTGACCCTGGGTCCAGACGCTGCTGGGTTGTTACCCAACAGTTGGCGAGCCAGACAGGAGACCAAGGAAACCTGTGTGAGTGCCGGACATACGGTAGGGCAAGGGACTGTGATGGGAGGGATCCTGAGATGGCCCTCGTCCTCCATGTGGGGGTGGGGGTGGTGGTCACTGCTGTCTTGCCCACTGTGTGAGTACCGGGACGCCCCCAAAACGCCTAAGGGCATTGACGATATGCTGTGTCAGTTGGAGGCCCCAAAGCAAGATTGTTGCGCTGGGGCAGTTAGTGTGGGGTGGCTCCTACTGGCAGCCTTGAGAGGGGCAACCGACGCGGACCTAGCTGCCAGGGCCCGAATTAGGCAGCTGGAAGAAGAGCTGCAACAGGAGGAGGACTTGCATGCTGCCCCTTCCTCCTCCCTAGCCCGTATGCTTTTCTTCGGGGGAAATCCCGGCGGGCCACGGAAGCCCAGCTAGCTGCTGAAGCTCCCGTAAGAGCTTTGCAGAGTTACAGTTGGAAAGGGATGTGTGGCAGTCCCGTGAGGAGGCCATGACTGACACACTGAGCAGCTGTGTCCGCCAACAGGGTGAGCAGCTAGAAACGTTCGCCTGCATGTTTGTAAAGACAGGAGATTTAAGGGCCGAGGGAACAACCCCCTAGCCATTGCTCAAAGCCCTCCAACAATGGGACTGGAGATAGTTGGCGGGCTAAGCAGCGCCCTGGCACTGAGAACACCTTGTAACACCCAGTGCAAAGCAAGAGTTAAAACAGCAGGAAAAAAACAAGTAAAAAGCCCTTCAAGATAGCTTGTGTTGAGCGACCTTGAAGAGACCTCAGAGGCCTCTCTGGGATTCTCTGACAGCTGCCCCTGCCAAGACAGCTGAGCAGCACCATAGCCGCAGCTGCAACAGTAAGGGGAAGGCAAATAGGAGGGCCCGCCTCCAGGTTACCAGGCAACTGGGCTGAGACCGTGCTTGCACCTGGTATGGTGGCGGGGTGGCCCCACAAATGACTGAGGGCTCAGCCAACCTTGCCCAGATCGTCTCTCAGAAATAATTAGGGCTGAGGATTAAGCTTAGGTGCCTCTGTCACCAGGGAGGACCAAAGGCCTGACATTGCAATTAAAGTTCAATGAGGAAAACTTCCGGGTCTGAGATCGCTGTCATTGAGACACTTGCCCAAGGCTGACTACCGGTAAGTCCCTTCGGGGCCCCTGCGAATCCTTATTGTATGTGTTGGTGATATTGATGGATTAATGCACACCTTTGGAAACTTTGGCCTCCAAGTCCCGATGGGAATTGCTGCAGTTAGGGCCATTTTGGTGGGGCACACGGAAACTGTGACAAGGGCCATAGCTCATAGCCTGGCCATTCAATCTGGCCACTGACAACCTCAGACTGACATATAAAGCAAGACCCTATAGAAGTGAAACATCTGGACAAAAAAAAAAAAACGAAGTCAGTTCTGGTCCTGATAAGCTTTTGTTAGTGGGGTAGACGGTCATCAGAAAGGCCTCTATGCTGAGAGGGGAAAACACCCAACGAGCAGACCGCCGTTGCCAGCTGGCTGCAGAGGCTGAAGCATTGTCTGCTCCAGAGCGAGGAGCTGTGCAACCGGCCACCTCCTGGATTTAAGAGAGGACGGTCCATGGAGACTCGTACACCATCCAAGACGGGGCCTACATGCGTGGACTGCCACTGTCATCAGAAAATGCTGGACAGCGTAGAAAAGCTGACCTGCCACAAGACCCTGGCCAAGGCTAAAACCTGCGCAGGGACAGATTCCTGAGCCAACAGGCCAGGACGTTCTTGGCAAATCAATCATATCGGGTCCTCTTATCCTATACAGAGGCTTCCACTGGATCTTGAATGAACTCTTCACGCTCTTTATCACCCCCAAACCACAGGGGCAGTTGAGTGCTTCAAGGGCCAGGCTTAAACGGCTGATGGGAAGGGACAGACATCTCAGGCAAGCAGCCTGGGGTCCCAGTGCAGCAGTTTCCTGCACTGGCATTTCTCATTTGCACCATATACTTGATTAAACTGTCTGTTCCATAAAACGTGTTTCTTTTGTATACAACCGTTCCTGAGAAAAGATCTGGGTTCCCACAGAGGTCACTGCCTCAGGCTGAGACAGACAGCCTGGGTGGCTATATCTGGGCAACCTCACCTGAACTGCCACGGGAAATGGGAGGAGGGGGAATTGTTAATGTCTCTTCTTTTTTCCCAGATTATTGCACAGGCCCCTCATCCATGGGCCCCGGTGACACAGGCTTTTGCTAGAGCTACCTACCTGACCCACTGCTGGCCCTGTGAACGTGTGAACGGAGATGACGAGTCATCTCCCCGCATTGTTCCAGCTCATCTGTCAACAAGGAGGATACCTCGTGGACCAACTGAATGTGTAACCCGGTGTAGTGAGGAGATCATGTGGTAAATGAATGCGGTGGACTCCGCCTGCCGAGGTGGCTG